ATCTACTTCTGGAACCAGGAGGTGGCCAGTCACTGTTGAGCTCTTGAGTGATCTATGAAAACTATTTTATGTTCAGAATTGCATTTGTTTCATAAAAACTTCCAGAAGTGTGTTTAGAATTTTGCACTAGGGATGGGACAAGATCTCATGCCACAATGTCTTGTGAGACAAAATTGCCACAAGATTGTGCACACAATAGAAAATTTACATTTGGCTTGGACAAAAAAAAGAGTCAAGAGCTGGTGAGTTACACAATTTGAGAAGCAGTACCAAAAGTAGTATGACAATGAAGTACTTGTATTTTTTGGACTATAAAGTGCACTTAAAATCCCTTAATTCTCTCAAAAATCAACAGTGCTCTTTATAATCCGGTGCACCTTATGTATGAAAATAGACGAGAGAATTCAACATTATTGATATTGCGCCTTACAGTCCGAAAAATATGATATAATAGGTCATATATGTTTCTTGGGTTAAATTTTTTGGGAGATGTGCGCAGGAACAGGTGGAATAAATGTTCTTGGATGCAATGGTTGAAATGACAATGTTTGGAGCGTGACCAGAACATGGATTGCAAAAACATTCCGATACGAACTGAGCTAACCAAATGGAGCAAAAGTAAATTTTAGATTCATTGTTCCCATAGATCATCGAAAAATTCAAACACACGTTCAAAAATTAAAGACATCCCGGAAACTAACCAGCTACTTTCTAACTAGTTTGTTTTAAGTCCAAAAAGCGCATTTAAAACACAAGATTCTGTGAAATATTTTAATAATTTGGTGGTTTGTAAAGTTTCTGAAACAGACTTTTAAAATAAAATTATAGTGGTTCGATCGTGGCTGATTATCCACAAACTTTTAAACTTTTAATGTGGTATTTTTGGGAAAGTCTATGGGGAAAACTAATGAGAAATCTGCTTCTGTTGAGCTCCATAGTCTTGAGTGACATATGAGAGCTATTTTTTTATGTTCCAAAACCTTCCAGAAGTTTGGTTTCCAGAAGTGTGTTTAAAATGGTTGCTATCACATTCATTTTGATAGGACAGCAAAATTAAAAACATAAAATTTGACGTTTGTAGCTTCATTTTCTACTATTTGCTTTTTAAAGTCGGATTTGTGTTGCTTAATAAAATAAAACTATAAACTTATGGACCAATGTGTGCGGTCAATATAAAAATACAGAGAAATATCATTGTACACGTCTTATTTTTTATTTTTTAAACAAAGTACTTGGGTTGAGCCCAGCAGCAGCACTGAAGGACTGGTCAAAACATGAGTATTTCCCAACCTTTATTGACATATTGCAATATTCATGGAAAAACTGAAACCAAAATTGGTCACTACACCCACGATTTCAGACGATTGCACCATGGACTCCCGGGGAAGTGACTCCACCATCTCAAACCTTTCCTCCCTCCTCTGAAATGGGAAAGAAAAGCCTATTCTCCTCCCATGGCGTCTGAGCCGTCTGCATTTCCTCTGTGATACGAGCACATCAGAATGGAGCGATAAAGAGAAAGCCCCTCCACACTGGCCCGATTGTCCCCATTGTCCCATGATGCACTGGGAGAAGGGGTCAGGGATGCTCGTGGGACTGTGCGTGCGTGTTGTGTTCAAATATGTTATGATTCTGGACTCTGTGACTTCCTTGTGTCTGGTAGATCAGGTAAACATCATGTGAAGTTCGAACTTTGGGTTTTAGAATGAATGACGAGAAATGAGAACCGTTCCCATCGCGATTAACAATTTCACAAAATAACTCAATTTTTGCTGATAACAGGAAGCATGAGAAACTTGATAGAATTATACTTCTTAGAATATTTTTCATACTTTTATACTTTTACCATATTTTCTGCACTATAGGACGCACTTAAAAGCCTTTAATTTCATCAAAAAACGCCTTATAATCCAGAGCGTCTTATATATGAATTTATTGGGGTGTCTTAGTACGACTTTAGTAAACTACAAAGCCGCTCCATTTGCAGCATTACGGCTCCCGTAGTCAGGAGCATCAGGAGTAATACATACTGTGATTCCTTTTAATATCAAAATGCACCTCAAGAGTCAAGAGACACACTTACGCCCACTTTAAACTCAAGGCTACAAGTCACAGAGTAAAACATGGGAATAGAGCAGCTGCGAGAGAATTAAACATTAATGAATCAATGGTATGAAAGTGGAGGAAGCAAGAAGATGACCTGCGCCAAGTAAAGAAGACCACTCAAAGTTTCCGTCATCATCAAAGCTAACCCGAAAGGATGGATGGACGAGGAAAAGATGAGTGAGTGGCTGAGAGAAATTTACATGAAGAGACCGGGTGGATTTTTCCACAGATCTCCGTCCCTATTGATCTGCGACTCCATGCTCATCTCACCGATGGCGTCAAAAAACAAGTGAAGCAAACCAATTCAGTGCTTGCCATCATGGATTAACTAAAGAACTTCAGCCGCTAGATGTTGGTGTCAACAAGTCGTTCAAAGTGAAAGTGCGATCTGCGTGGAAGCAGTGGATAAGAGAAGGTGAACACACATTCACCAAGACAGAGAGACAACGCCGAGCGACTTACACCACGATCTGCCAACGGACCATGGACGCCTGGGCTAAGGATCAGTATCAACTGTGGTCCGAGCTTTCACCAAGACCAGAATCACCAGCTGAACTGTCAGGGAACAGTAACCACACTGACTGGGATCATGACGAGAGGGATGCGGGCGAGCTGGACGCTGTAATCACCCAACTGTTTAACTCGGACACTGTAGATGAAGAATTTGAGGGATTTGTGGATGAGGAAAGAACTGAAAAAGTGATTGTAATGTGTTATTTTAAGTTATAACTGAACAATTATGAGTTGTTGTGAATACACTAACAATTTAGTGTCTCAGACAGTATTTTTTACACGTTACAATTTAACAAAGTTGAGAGTTATTGTGAACGTGTTAAATAAAGTTTGACTGACTTATCTAACTGTTGTGTTTCGTTTAAAGTCCGGTGTGGTGTATATGTGAAAAAAGTTTGAAAATAGACCATTCAATGACTGCGCCTTATAATCCAGAGCCCCTATCGTGCCCAAAATACGGTACCTCTACTTGTGTAATTGTACTTATTTGAGTAAAGTTTGTGGTGACTCTTCTCACTGTGAGTTAAGGCCGTCACACACTACAGGAGAATTTGCCCGATTTAAGCTGTGATTTGCTTCTTCCGGAGTTCGAGAAGACGTGAGGCTAATCCACCTGTCAATCATGCCCATCTGAACTCTGGGAGATTCAGCACTAACCAGACTCATATCTTCATAAATGTACAAGAAGTGTGTATTCTGGAGTGCAGTTTATGAAAATACTCTTGTTTTATTTGAGTAATGTGTATTCGAAAATTTCAGTAATATTTTTGACCCATTTCCAAACTTATCTCATGAACATTAGATTTTTTTCACTATAGTCAAATGTTTTCATTCGTTCACATTTGCTTTCCCCTGTGCTGGCTGCAGCTGTGCATTTGTTTGTCACACCCTCTCCTCTCTTTCCTTCACTTTCATCTTTTCATGTGTCACCGACTTCACATTCAGTTCAGGAAATACTTCTACACACAGTACTGTAAAGTGCACGCAATACTGTAAAGTACACACTTACTGTACTGAGCTAAGACAATAGTAACGGACCTTTGGGGATAGAGGAGTGCAGCTGCTGGGGTCGTGAGGTTTTATTTAGATCAGACAAAGGAAATTTGAACGTCTTCCAAGAACAATGAGACAACGCAACAGACGTCAACATTCTGAACTCATCTGGATTCACAATTTAGTAAATGAACGTCTTACAGACTTAAGAGATGCACAGACAATGAGTGAAAGATTTATTGAATAGAAAGAAACTTTTGTGCTTAGATTTCAGTGATGTGATGAAGGAGAGGATGGGATATTAAGGGAAAATAATGAGCTGATGGTGAAGAGGAGGAGGCGGCTGAGGCGGCTGATGGTTGTGCTGCTGTAGACGGGTGATAGGATGTGTTGCAAGTAAAAGGAGGGGAGAGTCTTTATTGGTTAATGGATGGAAAGAGTGCAGGTTGTCATTGCTTAAAAGTTGTGATGTTTTTTTGGTTTCAAAACTTACTGTAATTACAATTTTATTTATTGAATATTTTACCAGGTAAGTCAATTGAGAACACCTTCTCATTTGCAATGACAACTTCTTAAGAATATCTGCTTTACAATAAAGGTATCTGAACCTATACAGTACATGCAATACCTTCTATGCAGCACTGATTCCTTTAAAATATATAGGATTAAAATTTAAATTATAATGGTAATATTCAAGTATAATAATACATTATAATAAAAAACTTTCAGAAATCTTTTTTCCAAACTAAACTTTCTCTATAAAGCATGTACACATTAGCCAGGCTGGCACCACCTAGTGCCTCCGCTCAATTTCATTTCTCTCTAGCAACTCGTCAAGAGTCAAAATACACTAAACAGTTTGCAAAAACTCCGGAAGTGCAAGTTCGGCACCAGCCAATCAGCAAAGAGCCATATATTCAGTGTTGTCAACGATTCCTGAGATCGAGGATTTAAAGCTGGAACAAAGAGAATGTTTGGAAAGACATTATCGCCCTTCTTCCTACGGGATTTTGAAAAGCTTAATTTACCAGTTAGCCCTGTTAGCGGCGCATTTCATACGTCACTACCAAATAGCAGCGATTGGTTAAATAAAAAAAAAAGTACCCACCTACCGTCGAGCGAACGAATTCTAACACTGCGAGGTCAGACGGTTTCTACGAAGTGAAACCGTCTGATGAGCCAAGCTATGTACACAGACCTACATCATATTTTCTTGCATATTCTTTGTCCCTCCATAGGACCCAGCAGGTGTCAGAAGTTTGTATCTCTCCTCTGTGGGTTCTGTTGTATTTTTACTTGTAGTAACTCTTATGTATCTGTGTGTTTTATTCCTCAGATGAGTATTTTTTTCTTGTTATTCTAAATACTGTTCCTCTTGTGTTCCTCAGATGAGCGTGAGGCTGTCCAGAAGAAGACCTTCACTAAGTGGGTGAACTCTCACCTGTCTCGAGTGTCCTGCAGGATCACTGACCTGTACATGGACCTAAGGGACGGACGCATGCTCATCAAACTGCTGGAGGTGCTGTCCGGGGAGAGGCTGGTCAGTACTACTTATATAATACACTAAGCTGGTCAATACTTCGTATATATTACACTATAATACCCTAGGCTGGTCAGTCCTGCTTATTTATTACACCATAATGCACTAGGCTGGTCAGTACTGCATTTTATAATTTTTAATTATAATTTAGCTGGTCAGTAGTAAACAGATAATACACTATAATACACTAGGCTGGACAGTATTTCTTATTATTGATTGATTGATTTTTATTTCCAGTTTGTGGCAAGAGAGAGAAAATAATCAATTCAATTTTTATTAAGAACATATAATATCTGGTTCATAGTAAGTCTATAAAAATATACGTAAATATGTAAATATACAAAGCATGTTTTAATGTATACAGACAAGGCCGCCAATGTCTCCTCAGCTTAGAGGTGAAATTGACAGAACTCCTCACAGGACACACTACACCCTGAATGATCTGAGTAAATGAATAAACTCTAGGGCTGTAATGGTTCATGTATTCGCTCCGAACCACTTTGGTACGGGACGTTCGGTTTGGTGCAGGGCAGAGGACAAGTGAATTTGCGCAGTTTGTGTGTGTTTACATTACACTACACGTGCAGCTACACAGAGACTCGGCTCTTTAATATTCATGAGGGAATTCATCTGTGATTGGGGCAGTGTTTCTGCAGTGCTTTATAGTTGGGAGCGGCCACCTTGACAGCAATTGCCCCCTGCCTTGATCACATCCTTCTGAACCACGTGAATCCTCAAAAAACTACGGTCGTTGCGCTGCGGTCCTCGCCTCCCCATACCCGCGACCTCTGTCCCGAGCAGCAAAAGAGTATTTTGTGTACTGCAGACAATGTGAACAAGTTGGCTAAAAATATGAAAATTTGGTAAAGCTTCATGCTGGAACTGTTAGTGCTGCACTTTACTTTTGAAAAGGTTTTGTTTACTGTTTACAAGGAATACATTTTTTATAATATCTCATACATTTGTTGCTTATTTCAGAATATTTTATTTAACTTATTAATATTACCAAGCAGCTCTTTGCATTTATTTTATTTTCCCGTTAAAACAAATTGTTGGTTCAATAAACACACAAATGGTTTTGCATTTTGTTCCCATACTGTACCAAAAAATAATCTAACCATGACCTCAAAACCGAAGTACGTACCGAACCGTGATTTTTGTGTACCGTTACAACCCTAATAAATATCATCACAATTTTACAGTTTCACTGGCACAACAGAACCTCAGCACTTTTAGTAATATCCTCAAAGAGTCATTATAGGCCACTGTCAAACTCTGCAAACTCCAAAAGATGTGCAGTATTCAAGGGCGAGCAGAAATATCTGAAAAGTGCCATTTTGTCATCACTGGAGCACATGGAGAACTTCTGGGAAAGTATATTAGCCATAAAGCTTAAAAATAACACTTAAAATGGTGGATTTATGACATTGAATTAAAGCCTATGTACCTGAATTTTACGATGTTTAAAACGTGAAAACCAGAACTAGTTGATTTGAAACAGTTTGCAGTGGTTCAAAGTTCTTCCTCATTTAGGTTATGCATTCTGAGTGCCTTAATTATTAGAGCTTTTTACAACTTTCAGAGTCCAGAGCAGAGTTTTGCCATCATGGTAAAGCTAACAACTAGCATGTTAAGACTGAACTTCCTGTTGATCTGTCATTAAAACGCTTTATAATTAGATGCAGACGGTTCACAGTGGATTTATTTTGACCTCAAGAGCTGCTTATACAATATATCTGTACTGGGGCAGGTCATATTTTCCTCAAATACTAGGAAAAAATTGTGTGTTCAAGTTTTGTGTGTAAAGATCGATACTTTGCAGCTGACGTCAGCATCATTCCCTGGGGGTGTGATGCTAATTGGAGTTACTGCTCTGTCTGGAGCTCTGTTACTCAATTTATTCTGATCTTTATTTTAACACAATCTGACCATAAAGAACTGACTTTACTAGTATTATTGGTGAGAGGATTTGTGCTGTTAAACAAGTCTCTCTCAAATAACATTACAGTCACAAGCTAGCTATGCATAGTGATATTTGATCATACAGTTAAAGCAACACCACGTAGCTTTCTGAGGGCGGCATGTCCTGAAATTCCTGGTTATTTTTTCTTGATATGTCGAGCCTTTTATTTGGCAGCTACAGTGTGTAATGTGTTAAAATCAAGACACACACAAAAATATAGAATAAGTTTAAAAGTATATATTTTTATTTTTTTTCATAAATGTATCAGGACAGGTCATTTTCATACATGGAAACGTAGAAGGCCTTGTAGATGATGATGTCATAATCTGTGCACGTCACGGTTGCACATGTACGTGCATGACTTCACCACCTTTGATAAGGACTGTGACCGAGATAGAAGTTTTGTAGCGTTTCTTCTCCGGCTGTCCTCACTCCTCCGTCTGTGTATCAACACATATCCCTATATGTTTATACACACAACAAACAACTTAACAACTAAAGGCATTTCTTAAAACTAAAATGAGGAATCCAAATGTGAGGGGTCTGAAATTAAATGGATTCAATTAAAAGTTGTCTTAAAAAAAATAATAAAAAAAATTAAAAAAAAAAGATCAATAAACAATTAGCTGCTTAAGATTGGTAATAGAGCGGGATACAGAAAACTTTGCTCAGAAAATTGGAAAAGCGAGCTGATGGAGAACGATTTAACCTAATCTCCAGGTGTTTTTTAAGGAAGTCCACAAACAGGTCGTCGAATTTGCCATCTTCATCCAACACGCTTTTTAGCATAGACTCGGTTGAGCCATAAACCAATTTAAGTTCTTGTGTTACGTGGCTACTGATTTTGTGCAAGCTCTTTTCAGTTCTCTTAAACTGGTGGTGTTGTATCTCTATCTCCTCCCATGCTTTTTGGGTGAGACGTTCTAAGATGGCCTTGTAAATTTCACCTCGTAGGTGTAACTTAACTTTGTCCTTGAATATTTTTACCACTGACGCAGTGACCAGACATTGCGTTATGGTCTCGCCTTGAGACAGATTTGATTTTCTGCTCGAGCATTTGGACAAACATTCCGAATACTTTGGTGGTGTTTTCAGGACGACAGCTGGTACGTCTTCAGAGACAAACAAAGGCAGATCTGCCTGTCCAGGAAGTGTGGGTTCCTCAAATGTGACGTTCTTTTGGTTATTGGAAAAACGGCATTGGCGTGGGCCCTTTTTGGTGGCGTAAACTGAGCTCTCGGATGCTGTCCGTGCTCCAGTGGCCTCTACTGGTCTCGTGGTGTCACTGAGATTATATGCACAGGAGCAAGGCATTTGATTCAAGCAGGTTTTTGAACAAGCTCTGGCTTTGTCAACCATGATGCACGCAGCGTCAGGGCTACTCAGTGAGGAGTTTACTGGGACATCTTTTTCCTGTTGTAACTCAAGAGGGCGTTGTTCACCTTCTGAGACACTTCATTCTCAGTCATGGCGGTTAGCTCCTGAGAATCTTTGCTAATGTCGACCATAGATGAGACTGTGGAGATGTTCAAAGCTCACGCAAAAACCAGACCAATGGATTCTTGCAGAAACGTGATCATGGTTTGAAATGCGCAGGTCGACTCCTTCGCACCTGTTCATCGTGATCACCATTTTCAAAACATTTGCAGTTTGTGTCTGGACCAGCTCGATGAACATGGCTAGGAGGATATCTTTGGTTTCCATGTGGCATACTCCATTTGATAACATAACCCACTGAACGGGACTAATTTTGTTAAAATGGCCTCTTACAATTTGGAGAAGGGCGTCAGAAGGGATTGTAATCTCCCTAAGATTGGCTGGTTTGATCACTTCCATTGTAGTTTTGTGAAAATAAGTTGTACTGAAATTTCACAAAAGGTATCAGTAGCTTGTAGAAACGCGTTCAAGTGTTGGCTAAGTTTGCTGCTGTCTCACTGTGTGACCTGTACAGAATGAATTTAAAATCACAATTATGACATCATAAACCCATTGGTAACGAGATGAGGCAAAAAAGATTCCATTTTTGTTTTGTTTTGTTTTGAAATTTTAGTTCAACATTTGTCACTCATCCCTATGGTTGTTTTCAGATTCTAGAATGTGATGATGTCATTCTTTCAGATGAAGGGAGGAGCCCGTTTTTCCTATTGATTACATTGTGTTTTCCAATGAAATATTAGAAAGGTAAATTCCCAAATATGGAACCTGATTTCTGTTACTGCCTAGACCCAAGACCATGCTGTATTACAATAAAAATCTGCAGTTGAACAAGCAAGGTTTCCTAGTTTCCTATTTGAATCATCAAAATTGAGTTTCAAACCTTTATCTCGGCATCAAAATAGCTAAAAGATAAGAGCTAAGGGAACATTTCTTTGTCCCACAGTAGAAGGATAAAAATATGCAGCCAAAAGAAGTTAAGTAACTACAGTATGTAACTTTCTTGAGGCACATCATCTGTTTAATTTCATGGAAATACAAAGTTAAAACCATTCTTCGAAACATTCCCTACGGAGATAATGAAATGTTGTTGCTTGGGCTATTGAATATTATAGCCAAAGCAACAACATTTCCATGGAAACAAGTGGGAGACCAAATAATAGTCAGGTTTGTGAGATCAGAACCTGCTCACAGTAAGGATGCATGTAACTTTAAACTATTTTAATAATTATAGTTAAAAACATTTCACCAGTATAACCACTTTGAATCAAATGAAGATTAAGAAGGATGAGTAAAAAGGATTCAAATAAAATACAGCACTGTACAAGTAGAGTAAAACTATAAAGCTAAAATCTGCAACACACAAAACTCATATGAACAGCACTAGTCTGGCCTGAAAACAAGATTCCCATACATGATACATGTATTATTTTAAGATATAAAGCAAACAATATAACAAATATTTTTTGACCTGAGATAATGCATATTATTATATACACTTGGAGCACAAACTAGACATTTAGGGACAGATTGTATTTTCTCAATTAAATGTTTGGTGGTTGAAATTGCCTCTAATAAAAAGGACGTGCCTGGGCGTCCACTC